CTGCATTCTGTATTTTAAAATGCAAGCTCACATCCTTGTTGTATTTGTAGTCCTTAAATGGAAACATTTTTAAAGAGCACAACAGTTTGAGAAGTCACTTCTTGAGCTCTGACTGTCTGTAATTTATGTTTTAGAACAGAATGTGAAAGCAATGTTAACCACATGCAGCCATTATTTCACTCGTAAATCGAAAACTGCAATTCTTAGTGTCCATTATAAGTCTAGAGGGAAACCCGTAGCTTGAGCATGTTCATTCTGCTCCAGTTTTTAAGACTACAGCTGAACATCTCCAGTTTTGCAGCAGCTGCCATCAGTGTGGCGTCTATTGTCTCTGCAAATGCGTCAAGACATTGCTGGTGAAATCTATCTATCTATCTAAGTTATTAGCAACCTTACTCTTTACTGCTTAAAGTGCAGAGAAGAAACAAATGAAAAGATTTTGACATTTAAAAGATTTCAGCAGTGTGTATGACTGCTTGTTTGGGCAAGCTTATAGTTTTGCAATGAATTTATGCAAACTCGTAATTCCATTCAGTGCTCTCCCACACACTGTGCCTGAAGATGTTTGCCATTTACCCTCCCATGTTCAGGGATACATGCATTTCTATTCATAGTGACGCTTGTGAGATCCTTGCTGAGAAGAGCAGCATCTGTTAAGCTGTGGATGCTGGTGTGCTGGTGATAATAAACCAGCTTGGAGCAGCATGGAAATTTATTCTGGTTGAGGTTGACATATTGTTAACGATGATGGTTTTTTAATATAACGTTAAATGGCTATAATTACCCATTTTATCCTTAGAAATGACTAAAAACTGCATGTTGCAAAATACAGCATGCTGCGTTTATGTTCTGATTACTTTAGTTAAATGAGGCGCGTCTATATTTGACTCTTTTTCTCTTGACCACCCTAATTTACTTAAGTACACATTATAAAAATACATTCAAACAATATTTGTTAATTTTTTAACCAGGCCAGATTCTGTAAATTTCCTCAGCATATTTTTACCCAGTGTATCTGCTTCTGCGTATTTTCCCTCCATTTATTTAAATACTCCAATTTAAAAATAAAACTATTCAAAAGTTTTTATTTTTAATTGAAATAAATCTGAAATATAATCAAATTAAATATTAATATTAGAGGAAAATAAAATCTGATCAAACTAAAACTAAATAAAAATAAAACAACTATTGAGACATTTTTTAAAAACAAAAATTAATAAAATGGCAAAAGCACATAAAACATAAAAAACTAAAATGAAAAAAGAAAACAAAAATTTAAAACGAATTTAAAATATTAATAAAAATATATAGTAGTATATGAATAATGATAAAATAACACCTGATTTAACATATAAATAATACATTTATAGCAAAATAGCAAAATAAAAATAGCTGAAGACTTTCCTACACTTGCCTTACTTTAATAGAATAAAACAAATATGTTTTATAGACAATATAATACTTATTATACATAATAGGTATTATACTGGGGATGTACATTACAGTTTTTTTTAGCATCTGTCTGGATCTATTGGGAATCATTAAAAAGATTAAAAGAGGTCAACTTTCTCTGAAACCTTCAACTTTAATTTACTTTGAAGTGCCTCAGGAATTCACAGTTGAATCATAATTATAATTTAATCATAATTGTCTGAATGTATACAGTAAGTCACGTGTTAAGAATGATGCAATCCCAGCTTGAAATTACCATTGACATTCCCACTCTTCATGTACTGGGTCCACAGATATGAGAGATATGGTGTCAGATGACATAAGAATTTGACCATATGCAGTTTGCAGACTTGTACGTTGGCTCATTTGAAGGACATGGTCATGCAATGACATAGACTTTTAAAAAAAGTGCTCTGCTCTAAATAAAATAATGAAATGTTATTAAGATCGCCTCTAATACCATTTACTGTATTAAAATGGATTTTGTTTGGTTCAGACCCATAAATTGTGAAATTACAGATTTTGGGAATGTTTGTTCCTCATATTATCTGTAATTATATGTCCTTCAGATTCATTTCTTCATTGTGAGTAATACTGTATTTTCATGAAGGCTGTAGTCACCCCATCACACAGTCAGCTGATTGGTTTACCCATCTCCCAGTGACCTGCTTTTTCTGTCTGCACAGCTGTTAGTTGAGTAGCCCATGTGATAGTTGCCTGGTCATTTATTAATGGCCCTATATTAGAAGCCACCTTTTCCTGTTGGAGTGGAAATTTTTGTTACGGAGTTGGTGATTAGCCAGCACAATGCCAGAAAGGGTCCACTTTTTATTGCATTTTATCGGCTTTCTAACTTCAGTCTAATGTTTAACTTCTTGTATCTGATGCCAAGGGGCATCATTGGTTCATTAACACAGTTTTGTGCATTGGCAGACACTGTGTGTAATAAAGTTTGTGAATCTAGGTGTTGTAGTGTGTTAAAGGACTGAGACTGGGTTGCAAAGGAATATGTTCAAGTGGTTTCAGTGCTCTTTAGATTCATAAAGATAGTGGCTAAGCCTGGACAGTTATTGCAGACAGACACAGACTTATTTGCTAGTTATTCAGTGTTCAGGAGTTACATAACTGCAGTACAAGGTGGCTTGAGGACCCAAGTTGTATTTTAAGCAAATCTGCGAAAAGTGAAAAATGATTTGATATCTCTGCTATCATTTCTGTAGAATAAAAAAATACAAAATTAGGATGAATATATATGTATGTATATATATGCATACATTCATGAATTCATTATAAAATAATTATTTAATATTTTTTAATCATTTGTATGGTTCTTTAATTAAATGTGCACTAAGTATTTGTTTCATATTTTGCTGAATGACACAACAGTGGTCTTGGACTTCATACCCACATAATTGCTTTGGATGCAGAATCGCGGAATTTTTTTTTTGTGAGTTGCCAGATGTCCTATTTAAAGGTTCATTTCTCATTTATGATTCATTTATTCTGCAGCTAAAAATGTTTTGCGTATTAGGTCCAATAACCAAGATAAAAATATCTTTTTCTAGACCTCTGTTATGACTGGAATCTTCAACCCTATGTGACTGTACATCATTTTTAATCATGTTTGTCAAAGTACTATTACATTACCATTTAAAAGTTTATGGTCAGTTTTTTTTAAGAAATTAATACTTTAAAGATAATGTATCTTGCTTTCTAGCAGCACAACTGTTTTCAACATTGATAATAAGAAATGTTTTTTGAGCACCAAATCTCAGATTATTAGAGGATCATGTGACACTGAAGACTGGAGCAATGGCTGCTGAAAAATCAGCTTTGCCATCACAGGAAAAAAATGACATCTTAAATTATATTCAGATGGAAAACAATTATTTTAAATTGTAATAATATTTCAAAACATTACTGTTTTTACTGTATTTTTGATAAAATAAATGCAGCCCAAATGCAGCCTTTCATAAACATTAAAAATCTTACCGACCCCAAACTTAAGTGTATTTTTTTAGTCTTAAAACTTTTACTGTACTTCGTGCACTTTTAATTTGTGTTCTGTGATGTCCGTGTGTCCTTTCAAAGTAACAAACAACCGCTGTTCACATTTAAAAGAGAACAACACATCAGATTTCATCTCACTACTATGTAGTGCTTTATTTCACAGAGAAAAAAAGAACAATGTATGGGCGTGACAAACTAATTTGACCGTCTTCCCTAAATATACTCTTTTTTTTTTTCATACCCAGAGGACAACTCTGAGGTGTGAGAAAACACTGTATGTGAGAAATAACATCATTGGTGACATAGATACACACATGCAAACATAAATACATAAACTTAAATATCACACCTAATAATAGTATTCACAAAAGATAGTGTACATGATACTGAGTCCGTCCTCATGCAGTGTGCTAACGCCCTTTAAAATATATTCATACAGATCCTGCTCAAAATCAATACACAAAACTGATAAATCTGAAGTTCAAGTGACAAAAATAAAAACATGCTCCTGCTTTAAAGTGCTTCGCATGGTAGTAACAACACAACTGACCTTTAGTATCAGCTAAAACACGCTCATGGCCAGGATGACGTTCACACACACACACACGTCTTTAAAAGTCTCCAGGACACAGATTCATAACGTTCTGTGTATTCTTTCATCACGAACACGTTCACATTAGCGTGAAAGCTAACGCTTGTGTTTTTCTTAATGAACTAAGTAGGTCTTTAAAGGGGGACAAAGGTCATGAAAATACGCAATACACAGGGGCAGCACACAAAAACACACGCGTACAAAGAACGATCAGGGCCAGATACTGATGCACTTGCTACATTCCAACCCATGTCACCAAGACGTTCACAACAACTCATAAATAGTCAAATAAATAGATAAATAGTCAAAAAAAAGGAATGTGATCAATATAAGTCAACATGAGGCAGGTTAAGAGGCTCTCCATGTGCAAAAAGTACAGATTAACCAGGCTCTCAGCAGTTTAAAAGCCTTTTAATTATGATTAGTCACGAGACATCAATCAGATCGATTACAGCAGAGAGAATGGTGTCGGATATATAGAGAGCCTTTGAGCAAATTAGCGCCAAAGCACCAGCGATTACTTCTTCCTATGATCATCATCATTAGAATCAGCCATGACAAGGAAAAAGACTTTTACAGTGACGAACACCATCAAATCCAATTGAAATTCAAGCCCGTTTAAAGATAAATGAACAGTATAATGTAAATGCACAGAAAGGTATCAAGTAAATGCTGGCTTTTTTGGTCGGTTCTCTGCCTTTCTGGAGCCATTTGAAAGCAAGTTGTCCTATAACATACATCACAAAGTGGGAGAGTTTGGCCTGGATACCTAGCTGAAATTGAGTTTTTGATGTTTAAGTAGGATTTTTAGGATTACTTCTGCTATTTTAATCCTCAGGCGTGTACTTTGATGTCTCACAGCGTTCCCCCGACATCCACAGCCCCTCAAAAGGCATGGAAAGTTTTAAATCGGTTGGTTTTTACAGCTATTTTCCTACGTCTGTCGGGTATTTTTGGTCTGTGTATCCACCCACGTATTCAGACATGATTATTACAACAAAATGGAATTTTTAAAATACATGACACAGCTGGAAGAGTCCTTTTGGAAGGCCATTTTCCCGAAAGACTTTGGAACGCTTGCTCCTCAAATTTTGGTAGAACCAGAATCTTTAATTAGAGTTACAAGAATGAGCTTGAGAATTACTTAAATTATGCCAGTCAGTGTGTGTTAAGAACATTTTTGAGGGCATTTATGATATTAACAGTTGTGTCGTTTACTAAGAATACTGTTTTTGTCAATACAATGCAAGTCAATGGGGTCCAAAACCAACTTCAGAATCCTTTGAGGTGCAATGTATGAACATTTTGTATTACGCAGAATGAAAAAGTCATACAGGTTTGGAACTTTATGAGTAAATCATGACAAAATTATTTTTTGGGGAATGATGAGATGTTCCTTTAAGAGTGTTTCGCAATAAAAATGGGAGAAAATGTTTTTTAAACAGCCCTTAAGCTAGTTTTAGCCTCTGTAACCTTGGTAATGGGTATTTATGGGTGAGTTAGAACCATAATTTAAAAATGCTCCGAAAAGTCTTGCTTCTGTTTATAAAATGTGGCAAAGCCTAGCAGGATTCTGTCAGAGTTGAAACTGAGACCTTGGGGATTATAACTCATTCTTGTGACTTTATGAACCACGTGAAGTGTAATATTTCAGACGCCAGACCTCAAAGTGCACTGAGAAGCAATAATGTGTTAATCTGGATTCGATGGTGATTGCTACTGTATTGTTATGCGGGTTCAACCAAGGGACCACTGTGTTTGTAAATTCAGACAATTCTCCATTGTCTAAAACCCAACATTTAAACCCAACGTTGCAGTAGCTATTCAAGTGAGAAGGTATCAGATGGTGGTCTTGCACCACTTACGAAGCAATTGTAGAAAGTCTGCTTTCTTCTTAAAAGTCTTTTGGAGACACAAGGTGAGAGGGTTCAGAGATTTTTGGAACACACAAGCCTCACATTGACAGAAATCCAATCCCACACCTTGTTGAAATCCACATTAAAGGCTCAGCCAGTCTGATCAGTGATGTAGAAGTTAACAGTCTTAGATGAGTCGGGACATAATGCGGCGTAACCCGGAATAATCTCTTATCTGAAGACTTAATGAAATGACAATATTAAAATAAAGGATCTGTTTGAGTACCAAAAAATGAGAGGCCAGAGTCAAAGTAATTCAGAGGCACCGAATTCAAAATTCGCCATCAAGTAACAAGAGGTCCTTTCTGTCCAAAAAGGCACAATATACACTCCAGAAAACCAAGGCAGAGAGGAGGAAAGAGTACTACAGCAGTATCCTATTGCAATAAAATAGACAAACACCAGGACAGATATGTGTAACGCTGTTTTCTTGGTCTTAGTTTTAGCCGGACATCCCCCTAAACTCATCCGTAACTGTGTGGACTGCGCGGGTTAATGGGCGAGTCTTCTCGTCCGCTTTGCCCGACCAGTTGGTAAAGGCGATGACTGAGGTTTTGTACCTGGCAGGTACCGAGGACGCATCTGACACGCATCAGCTGAGCGTGATGATGGTTATGGTGGCCTTTTGAGTGCACATTGCGACGACCTCTGTGTCTAGCACTCTCTCCCGTTTTGGCGGACTCTCCTACCATTGGCTGACCGATGTGGAATGGGTTTCTTATTGGGTCTTGAGGTGGCGATTTGGAGAGGATGGCCCTCCATAGAATGGTGCGGTCGATGGAGACGCCATGGTCAGTGTTTGGGTGCTCAGTAATGTCCGGAGAGATGGTATTTTCCTCTCTTAGCTGATGTCTTGTCATGAAGTCCAACCTGCAATGAGACAGAGATGGGACTTATAAATATTGCACTTGCTCAAGTTTGAACAGAAAGTTATATGTTATTTCATTGCACTCTGGAATGCTTGATTCTGATTAGTCTGTCTGTCTGTCTGTCTGTCTATGATGGCTATTTAAACTTTTTGAATGCAAATTATTTTACAAATAATTTTATAATTATTATCATTTATTTAACTCATCAATATTTTAATTCCAATTAGATGTTACAATTCTATTTTTAAACAATATATAAATTTTATATATAATTTATAATTAATATAATTTATTTACTTTATTTTTCATGTATTTATTTTATTATTTATGATTTAATCATAAATAATAAATCATACCTTACACTTTTATTTATTGTGTTGTGGAAGAATATCGGTTGTTAAAGTTTAAAGTATAAAACTATAAAAATAATGGCACATTTCATGGTGAAATTAGGTTTATGCAACTATTTATTGCACAGAATTGGCTTGATCCAACATTTAGCATCATTTATTGTATATACTAAATGTGCTGTTTGGTCAACCGTGCAAACATTTACTGCAACCAACAACTGCTCACTGTTCAAAAAGGGTTTGACTCCTTGTGACACCGTGTATGGCAAACACACTCTGGTTTGGTTGTAATGGCCAAGGCCACCTGCACTCTGTTTGATTATCACACACTGGACACTGAGATCTTGGTTTTTGCACAGATCTTTGCAGTTAGCAGCTCATGGCAGGTGCATGCTAAGACAGTGGCACTTTTTAACCTTGTGATGCATAAAGTTCCATTTTTGTACTTTTATTTCCAAATGATCTTAAAAATCTAGGATAAGCATAACTATAAAAGAGCAAACCATTTATACAAAAACTCTAAAGCTGAAATTTGAGAAATGACAGGGTATATTGCTGGGTTGGAGCACACCATCTAATCTCACAGTTTCATGCTAAATTTAGCGAAAAAGCTTGCTGAGTAACACTGACTTCGCTAGACATGTCTTTGCACAGTCTTGAAAGTTTAAAAAAAAACTCAGCTTTCCAGAAAAAGCTTTCTTTCCAATTACTCTTGCAATTTGTTTTGTCCAAACATTTAATAATTAGACTTTTTATAATTTTTTATATTCTTTTTATACACTTTTTTTATTCTTAATATACTATAAATATATTCTTAATATAATACAATATCTTTATATTATTTATATATATATTTTGCTATGAATTTTCTTCTCTTATCTTGTTAATATCTTCTTTCCTCAGAAAGTTTACTTTCTCAATGCACCAACTATACAGCCAGCTAGTTTTTTCCTTTGCATTGTGGTCGACCAAAATACCACCTCTTTAAAATATAATGACTATCTGCCCAAAGTGGCCTGGATGAATAGTAATTTTCCCCCTGTTTTAATGTATGCCATGCCACTGGTCTAATATGTTATGCTGTATTTAAATTTTTGCATATTCATCAGCAAGTCTCCACACCTCTGAAAACTCCATCTCAGCAGCTTCACATGATCAAAGCTAAGCTAGTTTCTCTTTGAGCTTGAACTAAGACTTTTAGATACTTAAGCAGAGATAAGCTACCCGTATACTTCATCTATTTGGCCTTTCACCTCTTCTGAGACCCCATTATCACACCTCAATATTTCTCAAATCCTTTCAAATGTCTGCTAGGCCACCCTGTCTCATGACTCATTCTCAATGTGCTCACATTGCTATACTTTTAGAGCCTTGAAGAACTTTAGAACCTTGAAGAAATTTAAACATCCATGGAACCTTTCCATAACACATGCACAAAGGGTTCTTTAAAGAGGTAAAATGTTCTTCAGATGATTCAAATTTTCTTAACATTGAGAATTTTTTTTTTTTTTAGAACTGTTCCATGAAAGGTTCTTTGAGGAACCCTATATGGTTCTTCTATATGGAATCACTGCTTTGTGATTTCTAGGGTTTTCTAGACCTAGAGATTTGTTGACCGTTGTTTCTAGAAATGTCCTGTTTATCCATCCCATTGTGATCCATTTGTTATACGTGAATAAACTTGAGAAGGGCTGCCACCTTACATATAATCGAACAGAGGTGCTAATTAAAAATCTCACCTGGCGACATTTACCTTACAGACCACAATGAAATGGGATCTGTGATTCTGGGGTATTTGTAGACTGAGCATAGTATTCAGCCAGGAAAATTAGCACCTGGACCTCGAAATTGAACCCATCTTGGTATAAAGGTGGTAATCATGTTTTGCAGAAACTCTGTTTGCAATATGCTGAATAGTCGAGGCACTTCCAGAAACTAGAGGAATGGTCGAGTCTTATATGTCGAATCTCCATCAAATGAGCAAATATCAACCTGATCACCTTTGGAGATGGACTTTGTGTCTGAGTGATTTAATCTTTTGTAATGTAACATGTTCATTGCTGCCACTGGCTGCACACCTCTTGTCAGACTTGGTACTGGCAGGCTGCCACCAAAACCCTGTGATGCCTTGTGAGAACAGTTTCTTTGTGGGAAAACAAGGAGATCTGATATTTGATTGCAGTTTATTCTGTGATCTTCCACTGAGAGAGGCAGGTCAGATCAATCCAGTATTATTGTTTGTTCTTGCCGTAAGGCCGTGATTTTTGCACCTCTCTGAAACTGGTCACGGCTGTTTGTGAATTGCTCATAAGCAGGTTATATTTAGCTGTACAGAGAAAAAGTAATTAATGTACCTGGCTCTTTTATGGATAATGTGACCATAAGTCAAACCAAGTGACCTTCTCCAGTTACTATGAGACGTATCCTGGTACATATGGCACATAATGCAGATTTTATGCTCAAGAACAGTGGGATAAAAATGAATGCTCAGAGTTGGTGGTTGCTCCCTAATTTATTTAATATATTTAATTCTACATAATATGTTTAATTATCTATCTATCCGTCTATCTATCTAAAAAAAATTATTTATTAATTTTATTATTAAATATTTTATATAATTTATATTATATATATTTATATAAAATTCTATTTTTTAAATAATTTATTTATTGGAGTTTTAAACAGTAAACTG